GGAAAGAGATGCAATTTGTAGAAAGGGATGCAGAAATCCTTGCATCTGTCAAGGTTAACGTTTGACTTATGTCTATATAGCGGTCTCTAGAAAGAACAGCTTTAAGGAGTTTTCAGAAATTTGGAATTACTGGATTCTGTTTGTCAAAGTGAAATATGACTCTGCCGGCATATGTCTGTGTCTAGGTCCTTCACAGTCTGCAATGTACTGACCCAATAGCCACTGGAGTCAATGGAAAGATTCCATTTTGCTCTGACAGTATCTAAAAAAGCCATTAATGGGCTCACATGTAAGATACTATTCCTCTGTTCTTGATTTCGCTGACTGCTTTGGGTTATGCTGATTTGTTCTTCTATCTCCCTTTGTTTTTTTGGTTCTGATAGTGACACTTTCTTTAGAGACTACACATTAATACCCTCAATTACTTTGATATTTTAAAAGAGTCATTATTCCAAGAAAATGTAGAATCTGCATTTGTAAACAAAAGTTCATATTTTATTCTTCAAGAAATAGACTAAAATTCCTGTCTAATCTAGCATTCTTGGATATCTCTCACATTAATCATTTTGTCATACCAAAATCTAGGATCTTAACTTTATTTTTCAAGGATTCAGAAATATCGTTAATACTAGGGCTTTTCAAGTTTTTATGAATGAGCTGAGCTGTAGATATTGACCATAGACACATTTTAAGCCCCTTGTAAATCCTAGAAAAGCATGTTAGCTTAATTTAATTTTAAAGTAGCACATTTTTCTTGTTTCTGGCAGGCTAGGAGCTAGGACATGGTCAAATACACCGATCTGGTATTATACAGTAATTCACTCCTCCATAGCTTGACTGTTTCTTTGAGCCCTGAAATATGTTTCCCAAAGAAAGGTGAATGAAGTATCAAGCCTGGAGAACTTGACAATTTTATAAAATAATTTGAAAGTTTGACATTTTTGAGGGGGTTGATAAGAAGAAATTATGGTGCCTAGGAACATAAGACAGATTTTGTGTCCCAAGCAGAGCCCAAACCTAATTGGAGTGATAAATTTAGATGATGCACATGTAAATAATTTGAGACTTTACTTAGCATCAGCTACTCTCTATGGCAGATTTTAGAGGAGAAAAACACTTCTGGAAGGTGCCTCCTTTTAAGTTCAGTTTTTAGTTATGTTGATTATGTTTATTAAATACCTATAGCAGTTTCTAACTACTATATTTCAAGCAATAAATTCGGAAATTCCACCAGACACATGAAAAACTATAAGGCTGTGAAAGCAATGTACAAAAAAATTTATCTTTCTATAATTGTACTGGGCTATAATCATAGGGAGTCACGCGGGATGGAAAAGCTGTTGTTAAATTATCCATAGCCATATGATCAAATCATGCTGTCTCATACTCCTAGAGATCTAACACGATGAAAATGTTTGAAGCCTTCTGGGCTATGTATGATGCTGCGTGAGGCCAAAAGAAATCACCAGAGACTAACAGTTCTGCTCCAGGGAAATCATTTAAATGAACTTCTTGTTCCTGGCCAACTCTTTTCTTCCTTCTGGATCTCTGCCATGCCCTTACTTTTTTAGAAATACATTGGCAGTTTGTAGCCCTAGTGCAAGAATTACCTTCATTCATAGATGTGCAAGACTGTGATGAAAGGGTTTAGGAGGTTAGTTTAATCATGTTGTCAGATAGAGGAACCTCCTTTGACCTCCTTTTGGCTCACAGAATAGTGAAAACTAAAATCAGTAAATCCACAAGCACTTTGGGAAATGTTGCCTGTATTCCAGTTTCCTTTCCTGTAAAGAGAGACAGTGCCTTCAGCATCTCGTAGGATTGTTGTAAGAAATAATGCATTAATTTCTGTTAGATGCTTTGGAAACCCTTTATCGGAAGCACAATCTAAGTTCAACACATGGACCATTATTATTCCCCTGATAATGTTTGGTAATATACTCGTTTAAGTACCATTAATTACTGTGCTACTTATGTGGCTGAATCATAATGCACTCTTATACTTTACTACTTTGTCTATAGGTAGCTATGCTTTTAATTGGATAATCAAAATAATGTTATTTCAGAGAAACATTTATCTTTACTTTCTGTAACTACATTTATGTAGGGTATTATAAGCTAAATAGTACAGCAGACTGAGTAGTGAACAGTAATAAGTTTTCTTTTTCATGTGAAGATAGCTAAGAGTTAAGTGAAAGAAATTTATAAAACAACAAAATAGAAGCAGAAAAGGATATATACACACAGACATCAGTTTCACACCATTATAAAGTTTGGAGGTGAAATTTGGACTCTTAAATTCATCTTTGACTTCAGTGTAGCAGGGTTGCACCTAGGATGCAAAGCACTATTGTTTATTAGTTCAATGCTACGTTTTTTTAAATGTCATGTGGAGTTCTACTGAAATTAAGATGTAATAAAATTATCTCAGCGTCTTCCACTATAGGGAATTTAGGTTATAAGACTGTTGATGCTAAAGACTTGGCACAAATTGCATTTTGTATTGAAGTTCTTATAACACTTGATAATTTAATAAAATTAAAGAGACAAAGGTACCGATTTGTTTCATGACCATATGTGGGTGTTGTGTATTAACCAGCAGTGGGAGTAGGACTTAGAAGAGTTTTCACATATGCTTAGGAACTCTTAAAAGTGCTCTTGACTACTGTATTATCTCTAGAAGCCGATCTCCAGAACCAGATTATATTGTTATATATGACGAGTACATATTCTTTTGTTTTGTTTTTGGCTGAGGCCTTCAAACTATTTGTATTAGGCACCTGTCTGTACTTTCAGATTACTTAGAATCTCAAGAGCAAGTCTGCAGAAAGACTGTGCTAAGTGGGTTGTAAGCATAAATGCATATGCATCTGTATGATCCTCTAAAGGATTGTCTTGTATCCTATATCTGTGTCTGCTTTTGAAATGTTTGCTTAAATAAGCTGATATTTAAGAGGAAAAGTGAAGGCTCACATCATATTGAACCATTACTGGATTTTTCAGTTTTTTGTTTGTAGCATTTGACAACTGCAAGAAATTGCATAAGAGAAAAAAAATCAAAGACTGGAGTATCAAAATCTTCACTTATAAGCTACCCTTATTTCATAGTCACTTCTTTTTAATAACCAAAACTTGGAGTGCCCGATCCATCAGAACAAATAACAGAGTATATAAAAACCTATAGGTTGCACCTGGAGATACTTGTTTTATCAGGGATAACACAGAATGGTTGAATAAATGTCTTTTAATTTGGACAGAAGCATGAATGGAAAAAACTGCCTAATAGAGAAAACTGCACAAGTATGGCAATGGACATAATACATCCAGAAAAATGTTAACGCAAGCTCAAGTAGTATGAAATACTTATTCATAAACTATCTAGTGATATAAAAAATAGGCTTGATTTCAGCATGTTCATGTTCTTTTTATCTGTGCTGCTTATTATTTATGTTTATGAATAGTAAACTTGGGATCCTGTAACTGAGATTCGTTTAAGAAAACAAAATTCAGTTTGTGATAAGACAGTAACTCTTTCCATGGAGAAAGGATGCATGAAGGTTAAGATGGCCAACTGAGAAACTGCAGAAATAGAAGGAGATCCATGTAACTTGAATGACTAACCACAAAGTTTAACATACAAATTCCAAATAGCAAATAATAAACTGAACACTTGAATGTATCCATTAAATGTATTTGAGTAAATTTGCATAATGAGTAACTTTATAAAATTGTAGAGCTGCTAGCAGATAATTTTGCAAACAAGAAGCCTCTTGCATTCACCTCATAAATTGCTCAAAGCAACCAGTTTTAATACAGCAAATCAAATCTCATAAATGATAAGTAAGACTTTTCATTGAGTTTACAAGAAAAAAATAGTTCAGTTTTGCAATATACTTGGATTTTGCAAGTCAGTCTTTTAATTAGATATAACATAGGTTTTATGTGTTCTCCTGACAGACCAGCAGTACTCATGGTCGCCTTCTCAGCACTTCAATGAAGAAAGATACTCTCCTGCTTCGAGGAATATGAAAGGATTATCTGGTAGTCGCAACCAACCACAGTTATGTTCAGCTCATACTTGTGGCTTAGCATCCCCTGAAGACTGTGAACACACCCACGACCATATCCACCATGGGCAGGAGCCGAGGCCATCCTATCTTCTCAGCCCCACAGAGAGTTGTCCGATGGACCACCATCGTTGCTCGCCACGCAGCTCCATCCATTCTGAATGCATGATGATGCCCATGGTAATGGGCGATCACATGTCAAGTAGCACTTTCCCCAGAATGCACTACAGCTCACATTACGACACAAGAGACGACTGCGCCATGTCTCACGGTAATCCCAAGATTAACCGCATTCCGGAGAATCTTTTGGACCAATTTGAGAAACAACTTCCTCTTCATCGGGATGGGTTTCACACTTTACAGTATCAGAGAACCTCAACAGCTGCAGAACAACGCAGTGAGAGCCCAGGAAGAATACGCCATCTCGTTCATTCAGTCCAGAAACTTTTTACTAAATCTCATTCTCTGGAAGGATCCTCCAAGGGAAACGTTAATGGGACAAAGGGAGACAGTCGAGGGGATGATCATCATCATGGGCACCATTCCAAGCATAGCAAAAGGAGTAAAAGTAAAGAGCGAAAACCAGAGAGCAAGCATAAATCTGGAATGAGCAGCTGGTGGAGCTCTGATGATAATTTGGACAGTGATAGCACTTACCGAACCCCTAGTGTGGTAAATAGGCACCATGCAGATCATATATCTCATTGCTACCCTGAAGCACTCCAGGGGCATTTTGGGGATCTCTCATTGAAGACTTCCAAAAGTAACAATGATGTGAAATGTTCAGCTTGTGAAGGGCTAGCAATGACCCCTGATGGTAAATATATGAAAAGGAGTTCTTGGTCCACGCTTACAGTAAGTCAGGCTAAAGAAGCTTATCGCAAATCATCACTTAACTTAGATAAGCCTCTGGTTCATCAGGAAATCAAACCTTCCTTGAGGCCATGCCATTACCTTCAGGTAAGAGGAAGATTTTCTTAGTATTTTTAATTGAAAAAGCTTTATAATTTATGCTGTAAAGTCATTGTAAAAAATGCAGGGGTCATCTGAATATCTCTCTTAAAGAAAACCAGGACTGCTTCATAAAATGCAGCTATTCCATAGTCTTTGTTTATGGGGCAAAGATTAAAAACTAAATGAGGCTTATGTAGTATAAATTAGTTTAAGGTCAGTGAGTGTGTTTTCACCTTTTGAGTTTGCACTAAAAATCCCGATAAAATCTATATCTCAGATTACAAAAGGGGCAGTTCTCCCAGCAGTTTGGGGCTAGAAAAAATGTATCAAATACGACCATAAATTGAAGATGTTAGGAACAGACTGTCCGGAAACCTATTTTTGTGTTCTTTTATTTTGTCTCTAGGTTATATTAGGTAACAGGAGAATAGATTTACTTGTGTACTCAGTTGCTTTGTCTTGATGACAATTACTCATAAATTTCATTTTAGTGACTGGGTCACCTAAAAACATATTGAACTGAGCCTCTCTTGAGCCTCTCATTGAGTTCACTGAGCTATTCTTGTTAAAAGTTACATCGGTACCTCAGGGAGATTAATATTTCAGGTCTGATAATCAGACTATTTGGGGTGTTGTTCTGTGGTCTTGTTTTCTTTAGCAGCAACTTCTTCTAAAGACACTCCCATCTTCACCTACATTTAAACTCTTACAGGTGCTACCATTTGCCACCCCAAAGTCATGCTGGTAAAGCCTTTTATGATGCTATACTGTGCTCTGGATCTTGAAGTGATATGGGTATAAAAAATAGCTTCCAAAATATTTCTTTTTAGACATTTACATCACTTATGTGATCTACTTCCAGCACAGTCCCATGGTAACTTGCATCAGCACATTAGGGTGTACAGAGAGCTGCAGTGCAAGCAGAGCAGAAAGGAAGGAGTAGCTGGGAGGATAACTGCTCCAGCTGACATTGCCACTGGGAAGAACATAATATATAAGCATTCCCTTAGGAATTTCCACAGAGTACAGCCTGCAAAGCCCACATTATTCTCAGTACCCTCTCTTCCATTCTTTTGAAATAAACTTCACCTTCTGTAGAACTTCCCAGATTCTCACATTAACGTGCAGATCTCCACTTTAGATTTAGATATTTAGAGATCTTCCATTCCTGTGGGCTCTGTAGAAGCCAACAGACACAGAATAACAACTGTTCTACTTCAGTGCAGAGCTCTCTTCCTCTCTGAGCAATATAGGACCAATGGTAATGAGTCACAGATGAAGAGCTGAATATTTTCAAATACGTATACAGCCATCAAGGATCAATCTTCCCTACTGTAATACGGGAACATTCCTCATTTCAGAAAAGGGAAAATAAAGAAGCTGCAACCCTCCTAGCATTACCATGCAAACTGATTCCAATTTTAGGCTAACAGTCATAGTGTTTTATCATATTCAAGTACCGTTCTCATATATGAAAAAGAGCTTGCATTTTCCTGGAAGTATTGATCTAATACAGTGAGCCAGAGCTGGAAGTCCTTCCAGTGTAGAGTTCCACCCATGCTTGTGTTCTAAAATCAGGGATATTGCTCTTACAGTAAAGAGAAGTTTAGTTATTGCTAGCTTCTTCCTTACCATGACACACTTGTATACAGAGAACTCTCAGACCTTTACACCTCTGCTCAGTTTTGTGCTTTCTTCCCTGTCACATTTCCTTGTTTCTTCTTCTTCTATCTTTACATCTCCTTTTTCTTAGCAGAAGCCACCAGTTTTTACTTTTCATGGTCCTCCCTTTTACACCCCAGTTATACCAGTGTCCCCAAGGGAATATGAAACACTGAGTTCACAAACTGACTTGGTTATCAGTAAGCTTTAGGCTAAGAACCCCATAGGGAGTCCAAGGCCTAGGCAACAGGAAAGTACATTTCTTTCAGAAATCTTTATTTTAGGCTTTTAGTGAATTTGGGATCACAGAATCACAGACTTACAGAATGGTTGAGGTTGGAAGGACCTCTGGAGATCATCTAGTCCAACCCTCCTGCTCAAGCAAGGTCCTCTAGAGCATATTTCCCAGGATCGCGTCCAGACGGGTTTTGAATATCTCCAGCGAAGCAGACTCCACTACCTCTCTGGGCAACCTGTGCCCGTGCTCTGTCACCCTCCCAGGAAAGAAGCTTTTCCTCAGGTTCCGATGGAACTGCCTGTGGTTCGGTTTGGGCCCATTGCCTCTCGTCCTGTCGCTGGGCACCACGGAGAAGAGCCGGGCCCAATCGTCCTCTTGACACCCTCCCTTCAGATTCTTGGACACGTTGATGAGATCGTCTCTCTCAGTCTTCTCTTCTCCAGGCTGAACAGGCCCAGCTCTCGCAGCCTTTCTTCATAACAGAGATGCTCCAGTCCCCTCATCATCTTTGGAGCCCTCCGCTGGACTCTCTCCAGGAGTGCCATGTCTCTCTTGTCCTGGGGAGCCCAGAATTGGACACAGTACTCCAGACGAGGCCTCCCCAGGGCTGAGGAGAGGGGCAGGATCACCTCCCTCCACCTGCTGGCAACACTCTGACTAATGCACCCCAGGACACCAGTGGCCTTCCTGGCCACAAGGGCGCATTGCTGCCTCATGGTGAACTTCTTGTCCACCAGGACTGCCAGGGCCTTCTCGGCAGAGCTACTTTCCAACAGGTCAACCCCCAGCCTG